AGGAATGCCTGATCGACTTTCTCGTACTCATGTGCCTCTGAATAGTAAATCTGATAGCATAGGTTGAAGCTGTTGCTCAGTATTCCTCAAAATAGTAATCTCTGTTCCCTTAGCTTGGACATTCTCTCATCTCACTACCAGCTCTGGCATAAAAAACATGAGGTTGTCATCTGCAACACAGTGGTTCTCTGGGATGCCATTTCACCATTGATCTCCCACCTTTTTTTATCAAAGGCAGGCAGTTCTTCACAAAAAGTAATCTGTCACTTAAATGCAGCCAGACTATATTGGACCTAGAACAGGTAAGCAGAATTTCTAATAACTTATGATCACTTTGATGTTAATGCAGGTCATACAATTATTCTTCACTCAAGGGCTCCCCAAATAATTGTTCTCTCTTGCACAAAGAGGAACATACGGAATATCTGAAGCAGCCAGTAACAATATAGAATACATATAGCACCTTTCTTCCTGAAGGGACCTTGAAGGGACCTGAAATAGTCAGTGATAGTGGATGACTGCCCAGTGAAGGCGTTTTGTTTGTACAAGTGGAAACCAAATCGGCTGTCCTTTTGTGTCCCAACTATCGTAAGTGGCAAGTAAGAGTGTAAGACTTCATAAAGGAGATTAGTGCCAAGAATGCAGGTACAGCTCCTGCAGTCTTTTCAAAGATGCGTAGTCTAGTGCATAGCAGGTGGGAAATAACTATTCTGTCTGTCCAGTTTGCTCACTTGTCCTGTTCCACTAACCATGAAGAAGAGAGTTTGGAGGAAAGGGGAGGTTGTAGGAAAAGAAAATAGGTATTTCTGGTTTTAATGATTACAGGACAATATATTCATTCTTTCTCGAACATCAGAGTACAGAACTAACATACAGGAAAGATGTGACTGTATCCTCCTTCCAGTGCTGAAAAGGACTCAGCTTTTCTTCCCCAGTCCTTGGTGTCTTCATTTCCTCCTCTAAGGTTTAGCAGATGTACTCTGAGTAGCTTCCTCTCTCCATTGAGCTTTCTTCTCCAAGTTTACGCTTGCAAGAGTTTCATGCCTCTTTACAGCCTACAACATAATGACAAAGCAAGAGCAGAAAGTTATCACCTAAAGGACCACAGAGATGAAACTTGAATCAATAGTTTACAAAATATCTGGCCTGTCCTTACCACGGCACCGTTCTGTCAGCTTTAATGCCAGGAAGAGAGAGGGTTAAAATAAAACATCCAGAGACTATTTTGGCCTTAACTCATTACCTCTGTGGGAAGAAATTAAACCCTGTTGTTAAGACACTAGAAGATATATCCTGTGCTTCTGGTCAGTATTTAATACTAATCTCTGGTCTTCAGAAGCCAGAGGTACTGGAAGCATATCAAAAGTTAAACATAATAGATTCCATCTGCTGTGAAAACGAGTGTCCCAAAGCAGCTGTCCTCATCTCTTTCTGGTTTTTGCATTCATACTACTCCAATGTAAGAGGAAAATGTTCTGGTAATTGTCAGTGTTTGACCTCTTCTGCTAAAGCCAGGGAAAAACCTTTCCACTGTTTTCAGAGTGCTGCATCTTTTTCATTTTGATAGGCAAATGCTGACAGAAACGTCACTTGACGCTTCAATAGTTCACAGTGCTGGGGTTGAGACTCTTACTAGTTTTAAGGTTTCTCTAGAACACTTAGTAATCTAGAAAGAAGATCTGAACGTTGTCATCAGAAGAACTGCTTCAGAGAAAGGCAGCATACAAATTGGGTTCTGCTGATGTAGATGCTTTAAGCTCAGGGTTTTCTGCTTCCAGTCATACTTAAAATAATGTAGTGGAGTGTGTTTCTGTTACCACTGTGCTTTTTATCCAAATTTATGACAATAAGCTGCACAGATTATATTAATATTCCTTGACTTTAAGACTAATGCTGCTGAGAGGCTTCAGCTTGGCTTCAGTTCACAAAAAGCGTTCCTTGCTTCTTTACAGAAATACCTCAAAGTTAATAGTTTGCCAACTACATTAAAAACCACATAAAGTTAAAGCATGACTAACCTTTGCTGCACTTGGAATCTTAAACTTTACACTTACTCTCTTCGTATGATGCAAATTAAATCATAGACCTAATTCTGACACACGCTGAACTTCTTTGGTATCTTGCCAAATTCTATGCAGGTGAAGGATGCTCAGCATCTACAGTACTTGGGAGCTTTTCTATGAAATACTGTTTGTTGACTCAAAAAACTAGTAATTTGAGAAAACTTGTTCCATCCACACTGAGGAAGACTATTTTCTAATGCAAATTAGAATGTACAGAATTCTAATGCGTTATAATTTTATGCATTATAATGCATTAAAAAAATGCACAGAATGATTACTGACCATCTCCTCACTGTTAAAAAATACTTTTGAGAGTTTTCAAGGCTCTGGAGAAACATACTCATTTGCTATTTCCATTATATCGATTCTACGAGTGTTGTAGTGTGTAGAGAGGTATTTGTAATAGGTCCATACAGTCACTGTGTGGACCGCATTGGCCCAACGAGCCCAACCTGCCTACCAGATCCTCACAACAAAAGGTGCTCTTTCCTTTTGAACTCCCACAGCCCGTCAGCAAAATTAAGGAGTTAAAACAGCGCAAGCTAAACTTAAGTATTGCACTGAGAAAAAAAGACTTTTTTTTTTTTCCTTTTAAAGGAAGCATATGCAGTCTAACAGTGACATCACCCTTTTCTGACTTGAGAATTAGTCAATTAGCATCACTTCTGGGGAATTAGGAGGACTTATTTTTAATTTTTGCTCAGTGATGAAATGGAAAAAAACTCAAACACCAAAACTCAAAACAAAATAGTACTAATAATCCATAGAAGGAACTGAGGATTTTACATGAAGACTGATTTGTACTCACCAGCCAGAAAATCTGTGCTTACCTGCTTCCCTTTAATCACCATGACTAGGCATCCCAATATTGTCAAGGCAATCATTACATAGCTGAACTTCACACGCAGTGTGGTCTTCGCTGCTCTGATTGTTTCAATCCTCAATAATAAAATAACAGAATAATTATTAGAGATCCAAATAAAGAATTTGGCTAATTGTTTAATTTCTCATAGCATGCTATCTATGAAATTTTGTATAACGCTAACAGTACTTGGCTCTTCTCACAAAAAGGTTTTACAAGAATAGGAGAGGCTGATCCCCAGCTACCTTGGGAAGTACTTGGTCGCAAACGCATTCCTCTTGAAGTTGGAAACAAACCCAACATTTTTAACTTCAGTTGTCTAATTGTTAAGAGACAATACTGCCTTTCCAGACCACTTGACTGCAACACAGAGGATGAAAGCTGGAATATTTAAGTATGTATGTTCACTATGGAGAGGACAGGAAAAAGAGGGATGGTTTTACTAATACAATGTTTTTCTTAATGTTAGCTCCTTCTGTGCTCACTACTACCTTCCAATATCTGCAAAGCCATGGAGCACTGCATCCATATGAGAACTGTGGTGTATTTAACATTGTAAAACATGCATTTTCCCTCAACAGGAGAAGCATGGTAAAAACTATCAGCATGAATAAAATACATAGTGTTTAATGGTTGGAGTTTCTTGGGCAGAGGGAAGCATTATCACAGCTTAGCACTTCATTCTGCCTGAACTTCAAAATAGTTTCATTTATAATGCAGTCTATTTTCCAGCAAGAAGGCTTCCTCTACTGCAGGATTTGACAGTGCTGTACGTTACACACTGGCTGCTGAATGTAATATTCCTCAGAAAATCTGAATAGGACTTGGTAAAAGACCAGTGGTTACCACTTCCCTCCTGCTAGAGTAAATAGTCTTAAGGTAATCTGTTTTCCTAAGAAACTAAGGAGGCATGGAGGATTGTAAGCTTTCCAACATCAGCTTTGGACAAAGGACTCCTTTAAATTTTTTTTTGTTATTTTTATTTAAGGGGGCTTATCTAGTCACACCAGTAGCTATACTACTCCTTTGGGAAACCTGTTTAAAAAACAGAATTCTTCCACAAGAAGAGTATCACTTATTAAAGCCTTCCAGCTGTACAGGTCATGAGTTAAAACAAAAAACCATTTATTTTAAGTTGGGTTAAACTCTGAAGATCATTCTGCCCAAATGACATCTCGGTTACAGCAAATTTAAAATTCATATTAGAGATACCAATGCAAGAAAGGCCAATGAAGCATAATGCTTCTGGATGTGCTTTCCACAACAACCAAAGACCCACACCCTACATATTTAGCTCTTACAGAATTTACAGCAGTTGACTCCCTTCTCAAGGAGGTCTAATATTCTCACTGATTAAATGTAGTACATTATAAAATTACAGATGACTAGAAAAGCATCATCATGTGATGAAAGAATAAATGCATCAAACTAGGTAATTATACCCCAAAACTAACATGGATAGTGGATTTAATGGAACTGAGAAATTATCACTGTACACAAACATGAGTGAATATGGAATCTTTTTACCACATTTTGGCCCTTATACTTGGAGGAAAAAAGATGCCGAAGGATCCATGATAGTTCAACATGGTAAATCACATAGGAACTGAGAACTGAAGAGAGTTTTGTTCTTGTTTTTGAAGAGCAGGGCAGGAGTGATTTGATCACTGTTTCAACATATTGATTCAAGTACAAGTTTTCTGATCATAGGGAACACATCCATCTACCATGAAACTAATAGTCAAATTTAGCTTCCAGGTTATTTGTTTTTGCTAATAATCTGCGGTGAACAACTTGGGCGCAGGCTACAATTAAGCTGAAATGCAGAGAAGCAGGATTTTAAAACTTTATTAGTTAATTTTTGAAGTACCTTAGATGTGTTAGAATATACAAGAGGAAAAGGTAGTTATCTGAACACAATTTGCATTTTAAATCAATTCGGTGGCTAAGATTAACATTTGTTTAATAAATGAGTTAATTCTGATCACTACATCTTGCAAGACTACTGATTTATATCACAAGCCCTTACAATCCACTCTGAATTCAGCTCAGAACAGGAAAACAGGCTTTTGTGCTTTTATAGTTCTTAATTGTCTTCTCAGCTTTGGCTGAACTATTTGCCTAAATAAAAACAAGAATTCCCTATGCACTTGCAAAAATGGTCAGCTTTTATGAGAAGTTGGTTTGTCGTTTCAATAAACCACTGAAATGGCTTCAATCACTGTGCTAACTCTGTTTTCTTAAAAACACTCATAACAAGTGTTTGGTATGCAAAAAGAGATGAACTGACAATTTAATAAGTTTTAATAATTTACACCTTTATGTATTTCAAATGTAATTTTAAGAAAAATGATTCAATACAAAAGTCAATAATTGATTTTTAACAATATTTATCCATTGCAATACATTTAGAAAAAACTTCAGTACATGGGTGGATTTTCAATTCCCATATGGTGCATCCAAACAAAACCAGCAGCTACATTGTTTGCTTACCCAAGTAGTACAAGATTTACTGTATCTTTTTATTTAAATAAATACACATATTCAAAAGCCTTACAAGCATGTTTTAAAAGGTAACTACCACCAGGGATGTTTTTTAAACTAATAATTACCTGTTGTTGTTAAATTTGATCTTTTAGACACAGGGCAAAGCATTGACATTTGGACTCCACCAGCAACAGGGAAATTTTGACTATATATATATTTTTTGTTATGGAGCCTTTTCAGTGTTCATTAGTTTAAATTCCAAGAGTAAAGAAAGTTGGCCCATGCCCTCTAGACATTCATTAATAAATATTTTAAATGAGTTTCAGTTATTTTATAGCTATATCATGAAAGTTTCACACAATGGGAGACTGACATATAAATAAAAACACTAGAAAAAGGTCACACTAGTATTTTCAAAAAGCTTTTTTGATTGGGAGAGAAGAGTACAAATTAACTGATTTGTGACCTTTTTCTAATGAAACAACTGACACATGCTGGTCATCCCTTCAGAAAAAAATTAAAAGGGATATATTATCTCAGCAATATAGAATTGCTCAGGTCATCTCATCTACAAGATGATACACCAACCACAGCAGTGTAAGATTTTTCAGCTGTGAAAACCCATTCCGTTTAAGAATGCAACTGCAGAATAACTTTTCAAGTAATTTATTCCTGTGTAGACAATGTCTCTTTTACAGATTCAAAACTGGCACTTACGAGAGAGTCTCTGGTATATCCTCTGGTTTTTTGAAATGGCCTGCCCACAACAAAAATCTTTTCTCCCAGTCTGTAGGCTTGTGTCCAGGTACCCTCAAAGGAGATCGACCTAAAAAAGAAAACCCCAACAAAATGTACAAACAAACAAAACCAAGAAAACACCAAAAACAACCAGAGAAGCTGAATGGCCACAGCTGTAATGAAACCAGTTAGGGTGAGCAATGCGGAACTTTAAGTATGATGGCTAGAGTTGGTTAGGGAACAAAAAGTGTATCAGTCAGATTAACAAACCTGTAAATATGGATTAAACTGAGGCCATGTAAAGAAAGCCAAATCTTGCCCAAGACCTCCAAATTTGCAGAACCTGCTCCAGCATCTGAGCTTCCTAAGGTGCTGTGATATTATAGTTTTCCTATTACATTTAAATTTGTTTAAAAAAAAATAACAGGTCAAATGGAAATGCTACAGAAAAGCCAAAAGGCTGCACCGTTATATCACAGAATGTTAACTTTTCCAGGCAGTGTAAGATTTTTATCTTTATCTGGAGGTATAAACAAACAGATGACTATAGGCAAAGATTAGACCCTTAATTTTTAGCTCAGTCTTTCAAACTCCATATACAAAATATTCAGAATGTAATAGGGGGGGGTTCCACAGATACCATGCCATTAAAATCTAGCAAATCAAGTGCAAAGATAGGCAGCTTTTTTCTTTTTAAACAATGGGATGTATCCTGTATAGATGTGTGCTGCCTCGTGGATTCATGAATTATCTAGGAAGTAGGGTGGATACACAGTTTGCTGACACCACTAAGTTACTCAAAAACAAAGAAGAGGGCTAAGCACAAAGAGCTGCAGGGCTTCAGAATCCTCAGTCAACGAGATGGCCAGTGAAACCCCACGTGTACCAACAGGAAGCAATTCCAAATGACAGACTCTTAACCTAACCATTATTGCTGAGGAGTAAGTCCTTGGGGTTTTCATAGAGTTTTTGCCAAAATGTTCAGTAACAGTCAGAAAGGGAAACAGCATTACTAGCAATGATTAGGAACACAGACAACACAAAAGCATTATTATGCCATTGTATAAAAACGTGACTCCAGCGTTTTGAAAAGCATGTGAAATACTGATCCCTCATCTTGGAAACAGCTGAAAAAGAAAACCGGTAAGGACAACCACAGGTATGGAATGGCCACCATGTAAGAAACAGTATCATAGACTGGGAGCCTTTGGCCTGGAAAAGCAGTAACTGAAGCTTCCTTCAGCACAACAGAGGGTACCAGAATCGTAAGTGACATTGGGAGTGTGGGTCATAATGAACAGGTCCTGTTTTGGAAGGGGTACTGAATAAAGGATCAGACTGAAAAAGGCACACATCGGGTTCAAAAGCAAATACAAAATTGTACTTGTTTTCTCACAGCATGGTGCAGCTGAGGAATTCCTTCTTAGAGAATGTGAATGCTAAAAATACATCCAGCTTCAAGAAACAAGGCAAATTTATGAAAGAAAAATCCAGTGAGGACCATTAAACACAAAGATGCCACCTCTGGAACAGCATCTAGGGGAGAAACACTATGTCTGCCCTCTTTCTATACTCTTCCTTAGACCCTTGCTATTGGTCACCATTCCTACTAGTCTTCACAAAAATGTAAGGCACCTCCTTTACTGGCTACTACTGGAGACATCACACTGTTAAGGAGACCTTTGGTCTCACCCAGTACAGCTGCATCATATTTTTAACACAGAAGTATGCAAAAGCCTCACATCTGTGTGCTCCTTTTATCTAGCAGCTGTAGGCCATGAAGGGAATTCTGATTAGAGCATCCTAACTCTCCCATATATAGTGGAAAAAACGTTTCATGGCCTGAGCTTTACCTGGCCAACTCCACCCTTAAACATGAACCAAGCCAATGATTCAGACTGACTCTCTCCTGCAGAGCATGTTCAATTTTGTGAACAGGTGGAGCTGGTTGTACTATGAAAAACTGCAAAAGTATTTTAGCTCGTACGATATTCCTAAACATCTATAGTTTATGCTGGGGTTGAACAGTCAGTTCTAGAGCACAGCTGAAGAGCCTCAGTGTAGGACTGCCTGTCAGATAAGAGACTCGTGACCTGCTACAAAGCAAAAGCTGTGTTATTGTCACAAGAAGAAATACTGACCCTTGGCTTTGTTAAAAAACAAGATTTTATTGCCAAACTTAATGCTCAGTTTTTCAGTCGTCTAAAGATCAGGATTCCCTCTCAAAAAATCAGGGATATTAGCATCTATGTCAGCCAAATTCCTGTTCAGATGATTGCAGCCTGGATATCTAAGTATTTCACAGCATGAAACATAGCATGATCATTATCAAAAACTCTTACTTCTTGGCTGAAGTGGACTTTCTTCCTGGGGTTTAATGCAAAGCCTTCTGCTTATCTTCAGCTCCACTCCTTTAGTCATCCTCAGAACTGAGGGAATATTTCTTCCCAGCAGTTTAACAGCCCTATCTGGAAGACAAAGCAGAGGAAGCAAAGGGGCCAAATCTAACTCAGAAGAGCAGAAAGTGAGAATACTAGCTTTTAAATGGAAGTGGTTTTTTTTAAAAAAAAAAAAAAACACAAGAGAAAAAAAAAGAAAAACAATAGGTATAAATCTAATATTATGCAAGAAACATCAGATTTAGTTGTAACAGAGCCTACCAAAGAAATTAAAGTTTGCCTATGACTTGAGCGCACCCATTAACCTTATTTAGAAAAATGGGAACGCAAGATTACAGCCTACAAGCAATTTCTAAAACACAACGCACACCACAGTTTCAAGGAACTTATCTATCCATGTGCTTCAGATATGCTTTGGACGGTGCTATCTCAAGGACCGCACACCAGCATCTACCAATCTTGTCATATCCCAAAAGCAAGTCACCGACTTGACAGAGGCAAGAAAAGCGCCAAAAAAGCAGATTCTTGGCATCCTGAGATACCTACTTTGTAGTGTGTTGGAAAAGGTCAGGGCACCTTATGTATGAAAGCATACTCTCAAAACAGAGCTTCTCATTCATTAATTAATATAATGAAAATCTTCTGAGGGGGGGAAAAAAAACAACTTTGAAAGGTAAAAGGCCATTTTAAAAAATAGTCTTTTTTCTTCTTTATGCTGGCTGAAAAGGTCCCTCCTATGAGAAACAGTTGCCCTTTATTTTCTAGGCATAATACACGCTCTGAAAAAGAAAAAAATTACATTTATCGACAACCCCTCGCTAACAAAACCAAACCTTCTTCAAGGTCTTCAGAGAAAGAAAAAACCACGCACAAATCCAGTCCTTTAATACTTTTTTTGAGT